ATTGGAAGTTCCAAAACTGTCATCCCAATTGGCGAAAAAAAGGTAACAAAAACTCGTTTTGATTTACCTTTCCAAAACAGATATAGCCGAATCCTTTTAAAACACAATTTAGTGTAGGTTACGTTACACTTGTCGACAAAAAAATGGAATTTAACTGCAGATTACTAATCCGAAACCGAAAACATAACGAAATCGAGGACAAGGTCTCGAATAGCTTTGACTTCTAGGACCTTCTTAAAGCTTTATAAAACGAATTATTACGAGGCCCAGAGCTGTTGTTTAGCTTAAACTAAACTTAAACAAGAAAACTTTATGTGGGGCCTCAGGTTTTTTAAAAAATTACATTTTACGAAGCCAATTTTTTCACTATTTTGTATCTGTAGTAGTCTTATTTATATAATATCTAGCGTGTATCTATTACTTATTATGCACTAGTAGTTATTAAATTAAATGAAACAAGAAAGAAAGCAAAAGTTTACACACCCTTGCAGCTACTGCAAAAAGAAAACATCTAAGATTCGAATTCTATGAGTACCTATTAACAACCAATGAAGCTATGATGAATTTTACTTCAATTATTCGATCGTTTTTTATGGCAGCGATTAGAAAGCGTAATTTTGAGTTATTAAACCTATAAACTATATCCAATGGAGTTACAAAAAAAATTAAAAACTAAAGAAGTTACAATATTTTTTTTAAATTTTTTTTTAAATATTTTGATTGATCCTATAGGAGCTTTATGATATAGTCGTTCGATTTAAGCCGTAATTCCAAAATAACAAACCATAACTAAATATCGAAGAACCGAAAAAAAAAATTGAAAAGTTATAATTTTTTTTAATTTTGTTTCCGATTGCTCCTAAGGAAGCAATATGATATATGCGTCCGGTATAATGTCGGAAATGTCTCCTTCACTGCGTTGGAAACTTCTGACTGAAATTAAATACCCTCTGCAAGGGTATAAAGGGTATAAGCATCTGCTCCTAAGGTATCCTTTTTATACAGTATTTTAAAATTCAAATAGTTTCCAGCTTTCTTGTGGGCGGAACCCATTAAAAAGCACTTTAATAAAGCCAAGTACTTAAAAACGATTTTTTATTAATTTAACAGAATGTGTGGACATTTTAGCTAATTTATAATACTAATGGCTCATACATTTACACATAAAGTTTCTGTTTTATTTCGTTTGCACACAAGCCACTGAAACCTGAAATATTTATTCGCCCGGGGCACCAATAAAAAACCATCTTTGATTTCATGTTTCTTCAATTTTGCCTTTGTTTATTGTTAATAAAAACTTAAAATGTTGTTGCAAAACAGTATACAATCGGGAGTATCTTTCGTTTGTGGAAGCCATAACATTTCGTTCATCTACGGTCTTTCAGGTTTTTCGATGGGATCGACAAAAGGGTTATGTTTCAATATATAGACATCCCTTGTGGATTAATTCCCGAAAATGTTGCAATATTTGTATTATTGTTTTTAAAATTACTTTTTGTATTATTATTAAAAAATTAATGTTATTAATAATTGTATAATACTATTTTTTTGTTAATTAAGTCTATTTAAAAATCGTTACTATACTACAACCAGAGAAATTGTAGATTTTTTGGGAGGTAACTACAATTTTAGTTTTTTGTTGTTGTTTCTTTGTTTGTTTGTTATAAATGTATACAAAGTTCAATAAAAAGAGTTTTTAGTTTTAGCTTTTAGACTGGTTACACATTTACTACATTACTTTTCGAGAATAGTTTCCCTGAGTTTAGTCCATCATCAGACTCTAATAACAATATTCATGAAGAAAAACTTTCACCGCTTGGTTTGGTCGTACTTTCTTATTTAGTTAGAGTGTTTGCGTATATTTCTTACAACCTTAAGGGGGTATTCTGGTCTAGAAATTTGAAAAAATCGAATTTCCTTGCATATTATGAAAGTTTAGATTTTCTAAAATGGGATCCCAAAAATCCGAGCCTTTAGAATCGTTTCCTAGTCTTTAAACGCGTTTTTCTCAAAACTTATATTTTTTTGGTGGTTGACATTATATTTCAAGTTCTATTGAACCGATGATATATATCTTGTTTATACTACTCTCTATCGCGTCTGCCTCGGCCTTAAAAAAATGTTGATTGTAAAAATTTTTTAAATATTCGAAAAGGTCGACGCCGTTTTGGTTAGTGGTCAACCCGATAACGGCATCTTTACTAAGGAAGATTTTGTTTTATATTTTTCCGATCTTTACAAGGGCTGAAATCATGTCCGAACGCACCGTTTTCTTTTTTTTTTTTGGTGATGATTATGATTTTTTAATTTAATACAACATTTTTCCATACTTACTTACTTACAACACGCCTCGGGGGTAAATCATCGCCGATCATATTTTATTCAAAGTGAAATATTTTGATTTACAATGATTTTTCTTTGGCTGTAGGGTGTGTATTTTTCAAATCGCGGAATCGCCATTTCTTTTATATACTGACATTAAATACAAGATTAATTGACAATAAATAAATGCAAATAAAAAAAGTTTTTGCATTTTTTCGGGAAATAACACTTGAAGTCGCAGACTCCTTGGGTCTTAACTGCAGTCTTGTATTGAAAATTGAGTAAAGGGATATTCCTTAAATTAAATTTGTCTTGGCATGCAAAATAAGAAATAAATGGGCAAATGTCTTGCATTTATATTATAGTTGTGAGTCTTTGAAACTGAAGCAGCTAGACAATTGTAAGATTTGGAGCCTGAGTTTACCTTGAACGACGGGTTTATCTTATGCTTTATATATAACATATATACATATATACTTATTGGGCAACTAGCTATGCACAAATATAACATATCATTTACCGGTTATTATGATCTAAACACTTTGTGCCTTAAATTGAAAATATGTAGGTAGCCAATAGCGGGCAATAAGTTTATGAAATTAAACAAAGCGGCTAATGTTTTGGACTTATATTATAGATCAGTATCTTTCAAACTATATAACAGTCCGGGCAAGGCTTAAAAAATAAGTCTATCTTATTGTCCGTTAATCTGTTCGGTTGTTCGAGAACATATATGTATACTTGATGGGCTACTAGCTCTGCACAAATGGAATATATTATTTTACCGGGTATAATTAGTCTCTTTAAAGAACGCCGTGTCCGATGTGATTGAAAAAAGAGAAGCGAAGAGCGCGGTGTTAATATCGTTGCGTGTCTTGTAGAATCGTAAATATGTGCGAGCGGCGCACGAGAATGCGAGGTTCGGTCGCTACTCCCGTCTACTTAGGGCCTTTCTTTTTGTCCACTTATACGTCTCTCTATCTCTATCTGTATCTCTATCTGTATCTGTATCTGTATATGTATATGTATCTGTGTCTGTATCTGTGTCTCTGTCTGTATCTATATCTGTATCTGTATCTGTATCTCAGAGTGTGTTTTCGAGTGTGTGTATCTGGGTGTGTAATCCGTCCATAAGTGGCCTCAAATGCCTATCCATAATGATGATGACGATGTGGTTGCCTCTGCGACCAATAGTTGGTCATTCATCACGGCGGTCAACGGGGGGAGTATGGGAGGAGTATCGGATAGTATAGTATAGTATAGTTTGGTGAAGTGCGGTGTGTATGGTACAATATAGTATGGTTTGGTCGCGGAACCGAAAACGATTTTTGCCGCATGTCACGCCTTTCCCAGAGTGGATACCAATGTGCGCAAGCGGGAGGGAGAGACACTTTCGAGGGCGTTTCCTATTATAGATCTCATATGATACACATTCGAATCTAGGTCCGTTTGGACAAACATGTACATGAGGTTGGTCCAAGAAAAACCTTACTCTCTTCGTTCAGTATTGATCATTGGTGTGCAATAAATGTATTCGAAAACGAAAAAACTGTCATTCATGTTTTAGGCGTTGCGCGATGTTTAGAATACATTTTCTTACAGCACGTATGAGTTATACACTTTGAGGCTGAGGCCACGGTTCAGACATTAAAACGCATTTATTTCAACCCAATCTTCTGTTTTGTCTTAAATGAGCCAGTTCGCATTGTATTACATAAGCGTGTGAAAAAGAAACCAAACAATTTTCATCAGATTTGGACCGCCCCAATGTAGATATGTAGGGGAGAAAAACTTGAGGGCTGCAACCCCTAAATTTTTCCTCAATATATTCATATTTTAATGTTTTTGCCATATCTGAAAATTCAAATTAGTTAAATACCCCAAAGACACTCAATTGAACGCAACATTATCGAAAGTGTCTAGCATAGACAGTCTGAGTTTTCGGCATGCAGGTCGCAATTCCTGTATAAAACCAAAAAGCGTCGTATTACATTAGATGTTCCGTCGTATTACATTAGATGTTGCCATCTATAGAAGACATCGAGAATTTGAACCAATGGCAATTGAATCGACCACCGTGGGAATCACATGAGTGTAAATGTTCATGTACATACATACTTGCAATGTTATTAACGACAGGAATATAGTATAACAGTGAAGGTGTGCAATATTATCTATAACCTTGGGGACTTATAAAATATGAATATTAATTTTCAATGTTAAATAAATAAACTGGAGTAAGTTTTGTAAAAATGCTGATTATATAGGAGACATTGAATACAATTTACAATGCAATACAATTGCTAATGAGACAAGTAAAATCTGTTCTAAGGTACATATTTAATGCAGCTTTTTAGAATTAAAATAGTTTATAGCTCTGATTTAAACTAAAAATTAATTAACAAAATTGTCAAATTTTGGGAGTAATCCATTTCAAAACCTCTCTAACAAAGCCAAGTACTTGAAAATGTTGTTTTTATTTATATAAAATATAACTTTTCTACATTTGACGAAATTATACTAATAATACTATTTGCACATGATGTATCTACACTCAAAAAAGTAGGACAGAATGGCCTTAAAATTTAGTTTTCTGAGTATACTTTATTTCTTTTGCACGTAGTCCACTAAAATCTGAAAAAATACGTAACCGCCCAGAGCACCAATAAAAAACCATCTTTGATTTCACATTTCTTCAATTTTGCCTTTGTTTATTGTAAATAAAACTTAAAATATTGTTGAAATACAGTACATAATCGTCGGGAGGAATTTTCGTTTGTGGGAGCAATAACATTTCGTTCACCCACGATCCATCAACCGTTTTGATGGACTCAGGGATCGGGACTGGGAACTCTTTAACACAAGGGATATGTTTCAATATAGAAGTTGCTTGCCGTTAGTACATCCAGTTATACAATACATAGTTTATTAATGGCTACGAAAAAAATTGTCTTAAAACTATTTAATATATGCATTCATAATATATTTCGTTATAAATATCAATACTTCGTTGTACACCGATCGAGGGGCAGATCGTTCCCCGATTAGCGATTCTCACTTCTCACTTCTCACTTCTGCACTGCCCAGCCCGCTTTTCAGATGATAGACTTTGCGGATCCGATCCAGGATCCCATTCACATTCACATTCACATTCACACTCGCACACACACACCCCCCAGGCAACCACACACACACACACACACACACACCGAGGAACGGATTGAATACTATACACTTAGATGTCGCACTACGGCTTACATAATACATTATACATAAGAAAAAAAAAATCCATATAACACACGTACGAGCAGAAAAAGCTTAGTTTTGGAGCAATTCCAGTTTACAGGAGGGGGCGAGGGGGGCGGTTTGCGGGGGGCAGGGGCGTGCCTGAGGAGGAGTGCCAGCCATTTAATGGTCCAGCTTTAGCACGACCCCGTACCTGCCCGTCAGCACCCTCCCCCCCAAACGTATCCTTAAAATACGATAAAAAAAAAAAAAAAAAAATTTGACTAAGGAAATCATCTAGAGAATCTTTGCCAGCCTAGACGGAAATCGGCGCATTCGTGGCCGCCGGCGACTGCTGCTGCGGCGACTGCTGGTGGTGCTGGTGGCCATGGCCCAGGTGGTGGTGGTGGGCGAGGTGGTGCTGCTCCGCGTGGTGGTGGGTCAGGTGGAGCAGCTGTTCCGGGTGGTGCGGCTGCACACCTCCGCTGTGGAGGTGGTGGTGGTGCTGCTGCTGCTGCTGCTGCTGCTGCTGCTGATGCTGCTGCGACTTGAGCAGCATTGAGCGGTACATCTCGGACAGAAGGCTCCACATGGGCGGCGAATCCTTGGCCAAGTCCACGGGCGACGCTGAAGGCGATCCCGATCCCGATCCCGATCCCGAACCCAAACCCATCGTTGGCTGGACGGCGGCGGCAGCAGCTGCGGCGGCGAACATCTGGGTTTGGAGCAGACGCAAGTGGTGCCGCTCCTCGAGGTCCAGCACGGGCAGGGGCAGGGACAGGGGCAGGGGCAGCACTGGACGCCGGTTGGCCAGGTAGTCGCCCTCCAGGTCCAGCTCCATCTTGATGCTCGCTGGAGGCAGGATGACGGGGTGACTGGGGCTGCTGCTGTTTCTGGTGCTGGTGGAGGCGGTGGCGGCGGTGGCGGCGGATGAGCAGGCGGATGAGCAGGCGGAGCTGGTGGTGCTGCTGTCGTGACGCCTCCGCTTGCCCAGCAACTGGTCCATGGAGAAGGCGTCGGTGGGCGATCGCTTCTCGCGCTCCAGCTCCTTGTCCTCCTTGTCCTCCTGCTCCTGCTCCTTGTCCGACTCCTGCTCCCGCTCTTGATGATCTTTTTGATCGGCCTCGCGATCCTGTTCCTGCTCCGACTTGCGGCGCTTGTGCAGGCTAAAGTCGAGCGGCTGTTCGACCCGCTCCTCCTCGGCGGCGGTGCTGCTGCTGCTGCTGCTGGCCAGGCTCAGGCTGCAGTGCATCTCCTCGTCCTGCTCCTGTTCCTGCTCCTGATCCAGCTCCTCCTGGTCCTCCTGGTCCTCGTGGTCCTCGTGGTTCTCGTGGTCCTCGCTGGAGGCCGCCGGACTGGAGCTGTTGGCCTGCATGTCCACGTACACAAAGTCCACCTCGTCCTCGGTATCGGCGTCCGGCTCGTGGTCCGCCTCCGGGTCGGCATCCTGGCAGCTGGGCAGCAGGCCCAGTCCGTGCAGGCCCGCCTGTCCGCCGAACATGACGTACGGATGGTGGGCGTGGGCGTGGTGCGGCGGCGGCGGGGGCAGGAGGCCGGGAAAGGCCACCGGGAGGCGTCCGGCGACGGCGGCCGCTGCGGCGGCCGTGCTCGGCGAGAAGACCGGAAACTGCTGGGCCGTCCGACCGTCGTGGGGCGAGATCTTGCGCCGGATGTGCGGCGAGTGGAGCTTGGGATTCGGATTGGCGCTGTGGCGGTTTCGCGAGCGGCGCGAGCTGAACACCATGTTGCAGCCCTCCACCGTGCACTTGTGCATCTCGCGCAGGTGCACCGCCGAGAAGTGGATCTTGAGGGCGCCCTTGTCGCAGAAGGTCTTGAAGCAGATGGAGCACTGCACCCGCTTCTTGCCCGTCGCCGGGTTGATGAACTGCCCGGCCAGGTTGATGGGCGGCGAGCCCCAGCGGCGCGGCTTTGACGAGGATCCGGAGCCCGATGCCGATCCGGAACCGGATCCCGATCCCGATCCCGATCCGGAGCCACTGGATCCGCCGGGCGAGCTGGCCGGGGAGGCGGCGGCATGGGGCTGTGGCTGGGGGAGTGGCCCCGGCCCGTGGGAATGCACATGCTGGTGGGGATGTGGGCCATGGCCCAGCAGATAAGCCGGGGACATGAACGGGTTCATTATGTGCTCCATGTCGTCTGTGGTGGCTCTGCGGTGGCTCGGTGGTTGCTCGGTGGTGGCGGTGCTGCAAAACAGAACAGAACAGAAGCGTATCGTTAGAAGTGTCAATCAGCGGCTGTCAATCAGGAAGTCACTGAGTCGGTCAGTCCCAATCGAAAGTCGAAAACTATTGCTAAATGACAGGGTGGCTGGCTGTTGAGCTGTTGAGCTGCTGAGCTGCCAAGTTGCTAAGTTGCTGGGCAAACCAGATTGCGCAACTATTCGGAATCCGCAACCTTATCGCCCAAAGTCAGCAGGGCAAAATGTGGACATTGACTAGGAACTGGGAACTGGGGACCTGGTCATGGGCATCCACATTTGATGCGCAATTAGAGTGGGAAAAGTCAATACGGTCAAACGACTCGGGGGAGAAAGTTTGTTCGGGGGCGCAATTAATCAGTGGATTACGACGATTACTTTGTCATTGCCGAAAGGCGAACAAGTTGCCACCGCCACGAGAACCACTTCCAATTCATGATTCAACACCAGAGACATCATCCGTCTATTTCTATTTCTATTTCTATTTCTATTTCTATTTCTTTTTCTATTTCTATTTCTTTTTCTATTTCGAATCGAAAAAGGATTGTCGACCTGATTTGCTATGCGAATAACTGGGGAGAATGTCCATATGCATATGCATATCCATATGACAACATCGCTAGACTCAACACAACTCCAACGATTGAAAAGCGTTCCAGAGCAAAAACCTCAAGTGTATTGCCGAGTTTCCAGGTGAAAGCCCCGAAGGAGCTTAGCCAGATTTTGTTGTGGCCCAGACACACACATGGGTACATAGCCCGGTCATATATCGGTGACAACGATAGTAACGTCGGCGAATCTTTCATGTCAGCAGATACAGTAGAACGTCCCCAAAATCATCCAATGATGCATTACCAAATTCTAGCTGCACTGCAAGTTACGAACGCTAATGTAATATATACACAAAATAAATAATCATAAATAAAATACACTGTTGGTATACTTTCAATAAGTGAATAATGTTGAAATATCATATATGGGTTAGAAAAAATCCCGAATGTAATCCCGATATTTCCACTATTTATCGGAGTAGTGCATTCAATATAGAGTTTTACTTTCCCCAACTTGATACGATATAGTTTGAGCTACCGCAATGCGCCGCAGAGTGCCCACTGTACTCGCACACAGGCACAGTGGCCGTGTAAGTGCACAGTGCTTCATTTACTTGAGCGAAATCTTTTACAGCTTTTTCGGTTCTTCTGGCCATTAAAATCGCCTCTGACAACGTCGACGGCGACGACAACATGCGGCGATCAGTGTCGGACTTTGGATCCGATCAGCATCGCCGGAGCCGCCAGAGACTAGCTAGGTTTTTTATTGTGGGCTCCGTTCGCTACCGTAATTGTGAGCAGTCGCAGTCGCAGTCGCAGTCGCAATCGCCGTCGACGTTAAACCGATTCCAGGGGCGTCACAAGCCGGGGACACGATGAGAGTTGCGGATGACGATGTCGTGGCTGGCTATCTGGATTCGATCTCAAAACTCGAACACACCAGCTTGCCCAATGCCAGCCAACACACAACACACAGCCACATACGACTACTGCCGCAGACCCACACTCAGCCAAAGACACATACACAGACACATACACAGAGACAGACACAGACACAGAGACAGACACAGATGCAGAAAGACAGGAGATGGTCGCTTTTATGGGGCTCATTAGTAACGATGACAACAATAGCATTAAAACGAGTGTATGTACACGGCGAAAAACTCAATTGTCGCGTACTTGAGACGATCGGGTTCTGGCTGTCGAATGGGGGGTACCTTACCATCCAACTTAGGGGGAATTTGTCCCAAACACAAATGTTTGCAATACCATCTTCGATCTCTACTCTCGCAATTTATTGCCCGCGATTGTACACTTTGGTCCAGCAGTGTGAACTACTCCTCGTTGCAATCTACTACCTTTATGTTGTATGTAACACGGAGAAGATCGCCTTTAAAGCAGTTTCGAATCATCACCAGTTAGCCAAAGTTTCCAATTTTATGTCAGAGAGTTCTGATAATATAAATAAAATACGTAAATAACCTACTCATGTACTATTAATGACTTTCAAGTGAAAAAATCCCGGACTAGAATTGCATTTCAACTGTCTCCACATTCAGACTTCAATTAAGGTGGCTGGTTTTCTCGCAGTGCAGTCCCTGGACAGATCGAGGTGAGTATGCATGTAGATGGGTAATTATTTTTGTCAAACGCTTAAAATGTCTTAAGCCACCGAGGGAGAAAGGGGGCATGGGGCAAGGGGGCAAGGGGGCAGGGGGAAAACCAATCACAAGTTTTGATGGCTCGGACGAAACGTTTTTTTGATTATCGGCAGTGGCAGCAAAATGTTGAAAGTCCCCAAGACAAGACCGAAGAATTCAGAGACTTGGGCGATGGGCGATGGGAGATGGAAGCTGGGAGATGGAAGCTGGGAGATGGAAGATGGAAGATGCCGAGATGTGAGCAATCCGGCGGCTATAATTGCTGTTGTAGTTGCTGTTAATAGTAGTACATTATAATAAGCAGCAGCTCGGGGACAGGGGAGCGGCGGGGCGTGATGGTCCGAAGATGACAATGCCGATGGCTGGGGTCCAGCGAAAAACAGAGCTCGAAAGCCAGAGACAAAAATCTTAATTACAACTTTGACATTTGGCGTTTCCCCGAAGAGCCGACATTTGATCGTATAATTTGTGCGGTCCACCGCAGAAAATAGAAGCAAAAACAGGAGTACCAAACATTGGATTAACAAGGCATTGACATTCGTTCAATTTCCACAAAAGCAAGTTGGGCAAAGCTACTACTTTAGTTTTTTGAGCTGTACTGTGGAAGTTGTATAAACAAAAACCACTACCAATAAAAGCGGGGAGATAACTTCAAACATCATCACTTTCAATTGGTTCTGATGTCCACTCGATGTTTGATTCAGATTCAGTTTTTCTTTAAATGTATAAACGCAATAGATTTGCCGACGGCAAATCAACGTTTCAGCATCGATACATACCTTTTGCTAAATCAGCAGTTAGTTTTGGATGTTGAATTGTAACTGTGTTTTGGTTTCGCTGGGCGTTTCGGTTTGCTCCTCACTTTGTCACAGGTCTGCCATTAAGGAGAGTTTTTGAAAGTCGTTGATAGAAGGTGCTTTATTTCACTGATTGCGTTGTATTGTATTTGATTTCGTTTTCGTTTTGCTGCCGTGCATTTATTTTCGGTGCATTTTGCTCGATATTAAAAAAGTTGGTCGTTCACTTCGAGCGACGCACTAACACACAAACACACACACACGCGGCAGAGAGAAGTGGACGCGGATATGCGGATGCGATGCGATGCGATGCAAGGCGAGTGCGGAGATGCGGATGCGGAGAGAGATCCACTTCTTCGAATGTCGTGGGTGACACTGATTGTCGATTTGTCGTTCCAGCCACGAAATTGTGCGGCGACTGCGGCGCGGCAGCGACGCTGGCAGAGGGAGCGACAAATGCGGCGACACACAGGCACACAGACACACGGACGCTCGCGGCTCACACACACGCACGCACGCGGGGTGGGTGACACTTGGCTCTCTCTGTCGCTCGCCTTCCGTCTCGCTCGCGCGCACCTGGAGAGTGTGAGAGAGCGCGCTATTGGAATTGGCCTTCGTCACATTGTCGTCGATGGGTCATTAGGCGGCCTGCGGGAGCGAGCGAGAGACCCGCCCGCACTGCAGGCCATTCCGCTCGCACAGTCGGCAAAGCAGTGCGCGGCAAGAGCTATGGGCGCTCTCTTACCTCTCCCGGGCGAAGAGCGCGCAGTGCGTGCGAGCAGTGCCGCCGCTCGAGCGGCTAGTGCCCGTCCGCTCGCACACTGTCGTCTGAGTGGACGAAACCGTTTCGTTGGGTTGACACATGCGACACGTGTAGTTGTGTGCCGCCGACTGACCGCACACACACATACAGAAGCACGCACCGCCGCCAGCCAAAGAGAACGCAGCTCCGCTCTCTCTGCTTAGTAGTGTGAGTGGGAGTGCGCTGGTGTGAGTGCCCAGCCTGCTGTGGTGTGACAGAGAGCGAGAGAGAAACGAGTTCGCCGAGAGTGAAATGGCAATGGCCACAGTACGTGTACGTAATTTGTCGCTGCTGCGACGTCACTTTTTGTCTTGGCTTCTCGGTTCTTCGGTTCGGTTCTTTTAAATTTTTGTCATTTGATGTCTTGTCCACTGTGTGTTGTGTACTCTCTGTCCGTCCCTCTCTCGCGCACACGAATGGCCGCAGCGAGCGGCTCTCTTTGTTTGCGATTGCGCCAGCTATGTGTGCATCTGTGTGGGTGTGTATGGGTGACACTTTGGCAACGGGGGCGATTCGCTTCGATTTTTTTCCTGTCGCCACACAGCACCAATGGAATTCGAGCACTGGTGACAAAGAAGCGTCGCTGTCGCTGCTCTTTCCCCCTCTCCGCACTTATGTAAATCGCTCACACCGACAGTGTGTGTGCGAGTCTGTCTTATGTGTGCGCCTATGTACTTCTCCTTGTCGTTTCATTGTCCTTTTTATTGCCGAATTAAAATTATTCCCACCCACTCATTATGTGTTTGCCAGACGTTGGAATGTCCCACATAAAGACACACACCCACAGCACCCACAACACCCACACAGGCACAACACACATCTGCACGAATGTGGAAGGGAAGTTCTTAAAGCGAAACAAAAGCGTTGTGCAATTTATATTTGCCTTAAATACAAAAGGAACTAAGTCCGAATACCCGACCAGCAGATAATGTTGCATACCTAAAAGGCGCTTGCTTACCGTACCATCAATGGTACATTTCTAGGGAATAGTCTGTATTGCACAATTCAGTTTTTGTTGCGACGTACTTGAAAAATAGATAAATATATGTGCGTACGTGTTGCCAAAGATTATGTAGAAAATTATTTAACAATCTAAATTCTACAGGAATAAATTTTAATTTTAATCTTGATTTGGTCTCTTAAAGGGATTCGCATGTTTGTATATTCTTTAAATTTTCTTTTTCACCCCGCTCACGAATGTAAATGATTGAAAACGTTGTATTTAAAGAGTGTTTTTAAATCAGTACCCGCAACCAAATTACCCTGTTGAAACATAAAAAATTAGTTTACGTTTGGAGGGCACATTGTTCTTAAAATTAAATACATTTAAGCATTCATTATTATTTTCTTGCTTACCTATTACATTGTTATTAATGTTTTGAGTCCTCGAGAATCGGCTTATTAATAATGAAGGTGGTTAGTTATTTTAAGGCTTTATAAACTTACATTACTTTTTCTTATATCTAACAAATACATATCTTTTTGAGATAAAATGGTGAACAAGTTCTCGATATCTGATCGATTTTAAAAATTAGATCGAGCTGTTAATAATAAATCACTACAATTGTTTACTTTTTTCGAAGAAGGATCGGTTTTCGAAGAGTCTAATCTTGTCCAAAGAAAATAATTCCTTTTGAAAAAAGTGACAGCTCTGTCAAAAAAAAAATTAATCATTATAATTATAATTTTTAATTCAAATTTTAAAATAAAGATACAAATCAGATCCGCAGAAATGTACGCTAATGTCTTTTGGCCATGACACGTAACAAATTTGCTTGAAATTACTTTTAAACGCTCAAATCCCAAACTAAATCCGTTGGTGGTGTCATAATGTCATGGTCTCATTTGAGAAATATCCCAAATGTTTTGCCTTAAACTGCGTTATTCAAAGAGTTAATTTAAATATTCATCGGGCTATTATAAAATCAATATGGATATTGCTTAAGTTATTATAAAGAAGTTTACAATAATTTAACCTTGTTGGAAAAACGTTTATCAATTCTTAATATTTTACATTAATATTTCTTGGCTATAAAAATTTAGATATAAGAAGTAAGTAAGATTGACTTTTAACTTATGTCATTGGTTTTGAATGCCATTTTATCGATTACAATAATTAAAATGCGTAACAAAAACAATAACTATATGTTTCTCAGAACTTACATTCATAATTATTTCTAATTAGTATTAAACATGTTTGGGTTTGTTTTCCAATTCCAGTTTTACGAAAGAATTTTGAACTCTGAAAAAAAATACAATGTTGGGATTAAAATACAAAATAGGCTTTCGAGTTTATTCTTGCCTATAAATTTGTCAAGTGGAGGCCATACATTATTCGCTTAAAATGGCTTAAAATTTGTTTTTAGAAGAAAGTTTCCTAAACATCTAATACATACAAATTAAAAAGAACTATCTTAAAAATCAGTATATATTTAAGGCCTTGTTCGAAGTTTGTAGGAAACATTTTTTAAATAACAATGCAAAATTTAGTCAATATTTTACTCAACTGTGCCGTTAATAAGATAATTTAAATTAGTTGTATTATTTATATAGGTACGTTAAAAGTAACCTATGAACTAAATCAAGCTGCGTACCTATAGATCCCAACAAGGTTTGGATGGAAATAAGGCAATCTGTTTAGAATCAAAGCTACGGAATGGAGTCAGTTCCCAAAGTATCTAATGTATCTAATGTATCTAATGACATTAACGTCTCGATAGCCTTCATAATCCCCCAGAGCTGAGTGTCACTTTTCAATTCGGCGCCGCAAGTTATTGATTGATGTGAGTTTGGAGGTGAAAAGTCAATCGGTGCTTGGGACGATTGCGAATGGAAATGGCTTCCCTTCTGTCCTTCTCTGTTGCCAGACTGACTGGCCAGTGCTAGTCAACACTTTCGTTTTTCCTTTCTCTTCTATTGTGTAGCGAAATGCAATCATTAATCAAAAACGCTCGTTTCTCCGTTTCAATGCGCCCCGTCCAGATCTGATAAATAATTGCTATCTTATTATGTCGATTGTCGTTGCTGTCGCCGCCGCTCGCCTGGAATCGAATCGGAATCGAAATCGGACTTTCAGGGAATCGGACTCTGTATCTGCAGTCCGTCACTGGGCCAAAACCACGAGATACAGCCAGGCCAGGCCCAGAGTTCTTTATTAACACGGCACTGCTCCCTTTGTGCCCGAACCGAAATCGAAACGTAATCGAGGTCCGAGCCGAGACGGAACCGATCAATCATTTTTCACACTTTGTCGTCCAGGTTCTCATTCTCATTCTTATTCTCATTCTCATTCTCATTCTCAGTCTCATTTCTCGGCCAGGTCGAAAAACAGGGCGAAAACATCAAGTGGGGCGAGCGAGGCCCCGTGGATTACAAAGATCCGACTCTATATGCGATATTCTCGTCTCCCATCGCCGGAGTGTACTTGACTTTAGGTCAATAAATCGTTTCGGATTTTTGTGCTGGGCCTCTTTCCTCTGATTTTTGTAAATACGATTTACGCTGACACAAATGATATTAAAAATCCATTAATAATTTCGACCCAGCATCGATTTCGATTCCAGCACCAGCTAAATATCAACCTGAGCCTGAGCCTGAGTCTCAAGCTGAACCCAAAAATGGCTGAGAAGCAAAGGCCATGGGAAGTTATCCAGTCCTCTGTTCAGCTCTTCAGTTCTTTAGTTCTTCAGTTCAAACAAAGGCGTCACAACATCTCACATTTAATTACATTTTTCCAGTTTAGCTTGGCCCCCCCTCAATCCCCGCACTGGTCCACGCCCCCAGCTCCTCATGAGAAAGGACAACTCATTAGTTTCTGACGATTTATCCGAAAAACTCAAGCATCTGTGCTCTAGTTGCACATGGATCTTAACATGGATGTGGCTCTTTGCCGGGTGAAGGATTTACGAGACGAATCAGCCTTTTACAGATTATTATAATTATGCTTGGTGTTTCAATGCACCAGGCTATTATAAATAACGCTTGTAATAGTAAAGTGACAGTGACCCATGAATTAAGGGTTTATTTTGAATGTGCCTAGGATTTAAATAATGGTCTCCAATCTGTTGCGGCACAAATTTGATTTTTGTGAGTTAATATTTGTATTATTCATTAGCATCTGCTTATTTATAGGCTAATTCACATTTTTTGAAATTTTTTTACAATGAACGCACCGATTCTGAAAGTTAAGTGATGAATGCTTTTGTAAGTTAAAAATTATACAGCTATAGTTATTTGTCATAACCATATACTTTTAAATTAGTTTTTAGACACTAAAGGTATTCGCCATAATGCACTAATATTTTAAACATATTATAAGCTTAACGACAAAGGTTTTCAATTACAAAACTTTAAATCATCGGCAGCTAAAGTGGCAAAATCAGGCAGTCTTTTTAAGCCGGTGTAAGCAACTCAGGTAGTACAAGTGCGATGCACTTTAATACATCGTGGTGTTATAGAAATATTACTATTACCTCGTGTTTAGCAAGCAAAAACACTTCGATTTAAGTATTGGTCTTTGTATGCAATGATTAATTACCTACATAGTATACATACTTAGTA